GTTGTTTGATTCTTCTGAAAAGATAAATATATAATATAGACTCGAGCCTCTATAATTTTCAGGTTAGGTTTTACAGAATATAGAATATATAATATTAAATAGTAATATTATGTACATTAAATGTGGAACTTGACGTGACGTCAGTGACAAAAAGTTGCTGGCATTTGTGACAGTAGGATTTTAAATAATGGAATTTCGTTTTATGGTATAAATAATCTACCGTAATGTTTCATATTATAATGAAATRAAATACTCAAATACGACACTATAATATAATATATAAAATTGTTTTAAATTTTAAATATTTAAAGTGCAGGAAAACATGTGTTTTGGTATCAAATTCATAGTGTTTTGTAAATAACATACTTAATTAAAAATAAAAAGTACCTTTACATGATAGTTAGCTTTAATAATTGTAGGTACCTTTGTAAAATATACGGATTTTCAAAATTGCAACTACAGGCAAAATGAGAATACGTTTCGTTGACCAGGATACCTTGCTATAGGTTATATATTAAACAACTTAATCGATAATTATATTTGTGTGTAGATACACACACACACACACACATATATATAATATACATTATACATATTATCTAAGCACTAATGGATAAATTATTATGCGGCCGATAAAATTGAAGTAGAAGTGAAAACTAAAAATACAACAGCTGCTCAATATCGCATCTGAAAGCGAAATTCGTGAACATTTCAAATGTTATTTTTATTAGTGTTCATTGTAAGCAATAAACATTGAGACAAAATACAATATTCWATAGCACATGATTGCTTTAAAAAATAATAAAAATGTTTATCGCTTCAATTGTGTTTACGAGTTTTCAAAAACTGGATAAAGGACGTACTGGATAAGAATGTATTAAGGACCCGTTCAAAATCGCTCGAAATTATTTCATAAYAACAATACTATTTTATATATTGTTATGTTTATTTTGTAACAAACCATTTCCAGATCGTCTAAGTAGTCGTTTCTCTCGTGTAGTACTATTCCGTCGCTGTCTGATTCGAATTCCTGTCGAATCGGATCTATCACATCGTTGATAGAATTTATGGTTTCTTTTATCTCGTTCGTTTCAGCCTAACAAACGTGATTACAATAATATGTTAATTTTAATTTACAGGCATATAACCTTAACATTATAGCGAAGAATTTAGGTATGTCGTGGTATAATAGTGTAATATTTCGTGACGATGATTAAAGGATGGTTTTGAGTTATCATTCGTTTATTTCTTATGGTTCCGAATATAACGACAGTTTTTAATATATTCAGAAAGTATCGTTCGTAGGTATATATTGTTATAAAAATTAAATATAATTTCTATATATARAAAATATGTGATTGTTAACTATCAATAAAATCACGTTAATGTCAAATCRCACAAAGCTCTAGGTCTATTTCATTTTTATTTTAGTTAGGCGCAATTTTTAATTGTTTTACGAGATCGATCAAGTTGAAAGTTGTTATTATAATAATTATTTTACTTTATAAATCATTTAGCATTCTATAAAGATTGCATATTTTTAAGTAGGTGGGGATAATTATATGAAAATCAACAATTTTTTTACGATATTATGRAAAAAGCTGTGCAAGAAACAATAGCAGATAGAACAATGATATCGTCGATGCATTGAGTAAATAAATAATAAGCCCCATACATTACTAAGCTAGTAATTATAGTTTTAATATTTTTTTTTAATAAACCATTTCACAAAATAAAAATCAATTAATTCTAGAATATAATAGGTTTTATTTTATTTATTAATAATAGTTCAATTATCTTTTTCTTGTGGAAAATATTGTATGTAGTTCAATAATGAGGTACCTATTTTAATTTTATTAAATATACRGGATACATCCTTTGAATATATAAACACATTATACATATTATATAGTTACACATTGATTGACGACTGTACARTTTATGATATAATAATAAAATTAATAGCTAGACAGTAAATTATATAGGCATAGAAGAAACGAAGGGTTAACATTGGCATTTGACATAATACGTGTAATAGGTTTATTTTTAAGAATGAAAAATTGAAAATAAATTAAAAAAATGAAATTTTTTATTTATAATAGGAAATGTTTTAGTTTGAAGAAAATTATATTTAAAATATTTTACAGCGTATAAATATAATTCAATATCTGTATTTTGATGAAAATATATATAATTATATGGGGTGGATGTGAAATAAAAATTAGCGTCGCATTCGACAGACAATTGCATTTTCTTGGAATTCTCATATAGGTAGGTACGTTATTATAGCCCGTGCGTCATACGGATTTCGTGAAAAACAACAATATAATTTTATATCAGAAATTGATTTTTATTTTCAGTATATTAACAATGTATTAATTTTTGTTGAAGTCTTTATTTATTTGAGTTAAAAATAAAATACWATTGTTATTTTGATTAATAATCACAATTTTAAACTCGTTTAAGTTTAGGTAATAATGTCAAAACAGCAATGGAATAAATGTTCATAACGTTTAGATTTTTTTAAATGCTATACTATCAAGAGAAAAATGTACATATTTTTACTTTTATTTGACTTAAWACGTTATCTTAGATATTTGATTAAAGTAACCTTAAGTAAATTAAGATACTGCATAAAAAATAACTCGCTAAAAATGYTTTTTTTTATTTAATTAATTATAAAATGTTGTTTATGAATTTTGAAATTAATGGCATAAATTATTAGTGCTAGTATATATGAATACAAATAAAAATAGAAATAATGTTATGAGGTCTTGTATATTATATTAATAGTAATCTTATTTTTTTGATGGTGAGTCTTCACTGTCTGTTAGTAGAATGTACTGGGGTAGTCGAGGYCGCAGACGTCTGTTGAGGGTTTTTTTTACTAGGTTGAAATGTCGCGCACTGTCCAAGTTTTTTAGTTTGGCGTCTAAAAATTCTGAAAATCRTAGACCTGGACGTAAGAAGAAGATTGTGTGCTRCAATTTGTTCAGATTTATTTTAGTTTTTGATTTACGTCAKAGTCCTTGRTTAGRTAGACGTTTGTTGAGATAATTTSTGTATTGTCATTGAAAGTAGCAATAGTGGTGTTTTCAAAGTGTGAAATGTTGGATGTAAATATGCTAAAAATTGTTGGAGCTAACATAATATTAYCCTGASGTACGMCTGCTTTAGGGTAGCAAATTTGAAAGAGTTGGCCCTCATAAAGAACAGCAAAGGATTAATTTGATAGGAAGGATTTGATTATTAGAAATAAGGAGGATGATAGAAAGCGAATTTTGTGGAGGAGACSTTCATGAAGGTACGAATGTTCTAGATGTGATTAAACACTTGGGAAACGTATTCAAATATTAACAATCGAAACGGAAAGGCTCATACTATGATAGGCATATCACTGATTTATTTGACAGGTACAGCCTTAACTTAATGTTATTGTTGATGATTCTTATAACAGATTCATTGTTAAATGTTCAAATCTAAATTATAACARTCAAAATAATAATCAGATCTGTATAGGTATTTTTAAATGATAATGTATCTTATACATTTATATAATTCGATGGTTCGAGTAATTTTMAGATTAGAATTTCCATTAATCCGTGTAATAGGATAAATTGTAATAACGCTGAAAACTGTTTATGAAGGTTTGCTAATTTAAGTTTTTATTCATCTTGATATACTTGATGTAACACTGACTAAAGTTAACAAAAATAAACAACGTTGTCGAAAAGTWAAAAAAAAAAAATACACGTTTATACATCGAGAATCAAAGAAACCGTTTGTAATAATTAACTGACAGTAGCAGAAAGCGGTTTTTGTGATATGAGAAGAAATTTTTTGTGCACCGGGATAACGTCTTGTTCATACTATGCTTCAACTTTAGTCTTGTGAAATGTACATTAATTTTACGTACACATTGTTTATTCCACGCAGTCTGCCTTAATTATCGAAAATCAGACATTTTTCAATAATGAATACACTAATTATATTTTAAATGATGTACGTTTCTTTCATACATTAAATACTAAGCTGTTTGGAGATAAGAAATGACGCGTATATCGAAAACTCTTCTTTTGAATATTATAACATTCGAATGTCATTATCATAACGTATATCAAACGGAATAATAATGTATTATATTTATATAGTATAATAGTAATAGTGTATGGAAAGGATAAAAACCTATTATTCACTAAAGAAATACTTCCGGACCGAGAGCCAATCCGGAATATTTAACATCCGTTGTACTTTTTGTCGTATTTTTTATTTTATTAGGTTCCCCAGAAAACTGGGATATTCGTCGTCGTATTCGTATATGTAAACGTGAATTTATATATGAGAGTATTGTAAGTTGTAACAGAGTCTATGAAGTTTTAAGATATATTATTATTACTATATTCTTATCATAATAGATTATTAGATYGACCTACACTTGTAGGTTTCAACTTTTTTTAGAGTAAATATATAAAAGTTATTAGATTGCAAATTATTTTTTGTGAAATTTTGACGGTGCTGTATAGTGAAATTTATATTTGAGCTTTATAATTCTGGAATTCTACATACTACAGTATCTAATATGAATAATAATTTGCACAATAAGTCATAAAAAAAACTAAAGTACTTTTGAGAAAAATGAATTATATTAATAGTGAAATATCTAATTTCGTAGTCATTTCTACATCACAAAAATATAACCCATCATAAAAAAGTGGGAAATACCTTGACCATACATTAGGTGTCTAGAGAATTACTGTAATAATATTGATGTGTTACATTTGAATTCAATGATATAGAAATCGTCAGAACGATTCTGAAGATGGTCTGTCAGTCTATAATATTACTAAGTATTTTTTATAATATTATTCTGATCTAAGTAATTTATTTTACTATTAAGCATTACTACTGCAAATAGGTTAAATTAAATTTTGTTGAAAAAACCGCATCTGAAAATGCCATCGTGTGCACGAAAATATCAATAACGATTTTAGTTATTTTGCAGTATTAAAAAAAAATATTAATCGTATGTATTTAAGATTTTTAGAGTATATTTTATATTATTTATATTATTTATAGTATATTATTCGCAAAATTAGGTATATATTTTTAAATTAAATTATTTTGAAAAAAAGTTTTTCATAATGGTTTGTTTGCGTTCAAAAAGAACTGTCATAATAAAACACATGTGAGGACGTGAGGTACATTATCGTGGGATATATACAAGTATTTTGTACACACAAGTTATATATGTTTACAAGTCAGTGATTTGGGTACAGATGGATTAATACTAATATAAGAACAATTAAATTAACTGCAAATAAACGAATTGTTTATAACTACAGAGGTCTTGCGAAAAATAAAAACATTACCCGGACAGAAGATCAATCAACGTCTCGTACACATGAAACAACGAATGGTAGTAGACACGATTCGAGTTGTACAYTTTGAGGGAGCAGGTGGGTTAAATTTTTTCTCTACAGTTTTGGCTGGTCACTCATTCGATAAGTGAATTATATAAGTTTTTGTACATTCCCTGAAGAGTTTTAGCCATTACGGTAATGAATGATGGATTTTTTTTTTAGAATGCGAATAATATTCTTATAAAATCTATACCTAATATAATATCGTATCGCAGAAAGGTTTAAATGTATTAATTTTACTGACGGACGATTATTAATTTATTAAAGAGTTTCTCACCTATCACAAGATACATAAACCCGAACTTAAATCGTTAATTGATCGAAAAGGTGTTTCAATAAAAATAATACCTATTGATTTGGTTGTAATATAATAACTGTTATATAGTGACTGTTATTATTATAAAAAAGTTGTTTATTGATTAATTTTTATTACATAATATTTATATATATTGTTTTAAAATATCAACGCAGGAATATAAAATCGATATATTATTAAAATTAAAATTATGTTTTAAATTTTAATTCAGACTTGGGAATGGACAAATAACCATTATGGAATATCTAGACGCAATCATCTATCACTTTCATCTTGAATAAAAAAAACAAATTTACTAAATATGTAAAATGATATATTTTTTTTAGAGTTTTTAGCTTTTATGTCTTATATGACTTTATATGATTTTATTTGACTTTATGTGAATTTTTAATCTGACGATATAATTAAAATTAATATAATTTTTTTAACTTGCAACGAAACAAAATTGTATTTAATTATGATTTGGTGAGATGGGTTTCGGCGAGATGGGTTTCAGCGAAATGGGATTCGGCGATACGGGCCTAAATCTATAATTTATATACCTTGAGGTTGAACAGCGCTTCCTGAAACGGTTTGAACATGAGTTCATATCGGACCTTGGTCAAATTATATACCARYTCACTGGAGCAGGTGAACACTCTGATTACTTCGGATCCGTTTCTCATTATGTTGTTCAGAGGGCCGGCCATTACGTACGCAAATACCATTGTCACCAGTACGCGTTGGCCGGACTTGTCACAGAACGTCGGCATCGCTAAAAGTCCCAAACACCGAACCTGTAGATACAACAA